CACCAGGTCATAATATTCCAATACCGATTTCCCCTCAAACAAAATGAATTACTAGTCGCAAAAGAGTTGAGTTAACAGAATACGCGAAAGATATCATTAGACTCCATTTTCACTTACTACTGGCATCGAAAGAATACTCGAAAATTTTGGCCAGTCTAACGCTGAGTGTTCCGATTTTCCTATTCATAGAAAACTCCACCCAGTACCTGAACGACAAACGTTGGAGGTCTCGGATTTTCGGCAATATATAGCACAAGAACCCATAACTGGGCGGGAAAACTCCAACAGAAANCAGAAAGCTTTTGTGTAGCACCATCATCTTTAACGATGCGAAAGATACTTCATCTGCAGATGGTAGTGAAAAAACTTTATAATAATTAATTTAATAGACAGATGTAGTTAAGTCTTCTCTATTAAATAGTGAGAACCGTATTAGATTAAATATTTCTCCACACGCTGATGCAAAAATCTTCTGAAAATATTCAATAATTTTCCTGTCTGATCCCAAATGCGGGGAGCATCAGTCGCGTGTCTCTTTCTATCCCAAAGTACTCTATCCAGAAAGACGATGGCAGATAATAAAACATTTAATGAAATTGAAGCTGAATCAACAATTTTTTTGCATTCACTTTAGAAAACTGATTTTCAATCTATTCGATCTAACAAAAAATAAAAAATAAAAACTCATTTTATACAAAAAATAATAAGAAAACAATGAAAATAGTTTCCTCTATTTTACAGTAGCAGCATTTTTGGCACTAATTCACCGGCAGGACCTTTAAAGTGAAATCTAAAATAAGAATAGCAATAAAAATATAATTGTATCGAGTTCTGATTAGAAACATACGTGGATACTCCAGTTGAAGGCGTTTCTTCAATATTCACTTCGACAACTGGCACACCTCGTGCAGATTGTTTCACTGCGTAGCCCGCAGCTGGATAGACTACAGCCGATGTGCCAATCTACAACAAAAAAGAATTTTAAAACAAATTGATCTCAAACGATTATTCGAGAGCTTGCTAGGGATAATAGTTGAGATCGCGTACTTAGTTCCTCGCAAATTTTCAAAAATACTTGTTTAAGCCCTTACTGATTGTCTCTAGATTCAATACCAATTAGACATTTGAAAGAACTTTGAATATTTGTATACAAGTACTTGACAAGGGATTTGTCGATCATTCTATGTAACAAGGCCGAAAACGTAATTCTAACACTTTTTTTTCTTTTCTTTATATCTTTCGAACAGAAGAACGCCAGCAGCTTGCTACTGTCTCATTTGATAATAAGAAGTATGTTTATGAACATGAGACAAGAGTATCTGAAAGTCTTGATTATGGAGATATATCAACAAATCGGAAATACACGTTATTCAAAAACAAATTTTTCTAAAAGTAGTGTTGAATATCTAAGATATAAAGAGAAGAAAAAAAAGTGTTAGAATTACGTTTTCGGTCGTGTTACGTAGAATAATCGACAGATTACTAGATAAGTACTTATCATGTACCCATCTTCGTTAAACTACTTGATTAGTATTCTTTTTACTTGCAAAAAATTTCAAATACAGAGTGGCCCAAGAGTGGGTTTTACCGAAGAAAAATTTGAATCGCCATCATTGGATCAAATGAACTATTTCTTTTTACCGCTGATAGAGGAGTATTCATACACTCTAAACAAAGAAGGCATTTCAAAAAACCCTAAAAAGTATTCTCCATTTGAGAAAAACCAAAAAAAAAGGT